GACACTAGAAAGGCAATATGTCAATCAATGGAAGGGTAACTGATGTGATTCAGCAATCTGTATACGGGGTAAAATTGGGAGTTCATAACCCACTTGAACCAAACCGTGTAATATGATGTATTAAGAACTATGTAATATTTTGAAAGACCAATAATAAAAAAAAAAAATATGGCCAGGTGCAGTGGTACATGCTTGTAATCCCGGCTACTTGGGAAGCTGTGGCAGAGACTGAAAGTTCAAGGCCAGCCTGGCCAATTTAGTGATAATCTGTCTCAAAATTAAGAAAAAATAAAAAGGGCTGGGGATGTAGCTCAGTGGTAGAGCACCCTGGGTTCAATATCCAGTACTGAAATATATATATATATATATATATATATATATATATATGGATATAGATAGATAGATATGTGGACATATATAGATATATAGATTTTTTTGCATTACTAAGTATTGAACACATGAGCACTATACCACTGAGCTACATCCTTGGCCCTTTTTAGTTTCTATCTTGAGGCCAGCCTCAAGCTTGTGATTCTCCTGTCTTAGCTTCTTGAGTTTCTGGAATCATAGGAATGTACTACCATGCCCAATTAAGAATCTCTATTAAAAGTAAAGAAAGCTGTTTGGAGGAATGACTGATTCCAGGTCCACGACAGGAATTATATCAGATGAGGCTGGAATACTAGAAATTAAAAAAAAAAAAACTATTGAACTACTGGGGTCATGTCAGAAGGATTGAGAACCAAGTAGTTCCTACCAGTAGATCAAAGATAGAGCAATATGTATCAATAAAAATAACTATAACTGAATGAAATTTATTAGCTATATATATATTCATATAGATTTTATTATATAGGGGGTGGGAGTGCTGGGTATTGAACTCAGGGCCTCATGCAGACCATAATGATATATTTCTTTAAAAAACTTACTTGGGGCTAGAAGTGTAACTCAGTGGTAAAGTGCATGTTTAGTATCCCCAAAGTCCTGGGTTCAATCCCCAGCACAAAATTTTTAAAAAATATCTGGCTACTGTTTAAGATGTTAGAGAACCTACTCATTATTTCTGAAAATGACTAAAGGGCAAGAATCAAGCCCTTAGTTTGTCTTTCTTTATAAACTATACTTCACCCCAATAGAATTAACTATTTCAATTAATGAACAAAGAAGGAACACAGAATTAGAATTAGAATATCCAATCCCCTATAGAAATATCAAATATAGAACAATAATCATCAAAGGGCACTAACAGAACAAAAAAAAGTGATAGGTGGGCATTAGTACATCACACCACATATAAATTATTCTGACAAAATGCAAACCTGAATCAAAACAAGTTTCTTGATCTAACTACCAGTTCACAGGAAACTGAGGACAGAGGACTATATTTCAAATGATATCATGAGGATGCAATCATCAGAATCCAGAATTTAATAAATTCTACAGGACAAACACCCTGGCTTCTTCAACAAATAAATTTCTTCTACAATAGATTTTTTTATTTTAAAAAGAGAGAAAATATGAAGTTTAAAAAAGACACATTAGGGGCTGGGGTTATAGCTCAGCGGTAGAGTGCTTGCTTCAAGCATGTGAGGCACTGGATTTGATCCTCAGCACCACATAAAAATAAATAAAATAAGGCTGGGGTTGTGGCTGCCTGCCTCACACGTGAGGCACTGGGTTCAATCCTCAGCACCACATAAAAATGAATAAACAAAAAAAATTAAATAATAAATAAGTAAATAAATAAAATAAAGATATTGTGTCTATCTAAAAAAATAAAATAAAAAATAAAAGAGACAGATTAATAAAATACAAGATGAGAATCTTCTTTGGTCCTGATTCTATGAAACCAACTCAAGGGTTCAGATATTCTAATTCTACATTCCTTCTTTGTTTAATTACTGAAATAGAGAGAAACTCTCTCATTAACTACTTATTTACCCCAAAACATGGTTTGTACCAAAAGACAAACTAAATGCTTGTTTACTGCTCTTTATTTAATAGTTTTCAGAATAATAAGTTGGTTCTCTAACCTGCTGAGGGCAAGGGGTTGTGGATCTGGATGTTTAATGATTTCAGGAAATCTTTGTTAAGTTTTATAAGGTATAATAGATATTGGATCTGTTGAATAAAAATATATCTTGTCTTTTAGACTCAGATACAAAATTATACATTTTGGACTTGCTTTAAAATAATCCATTGGGCCAGGAAGTTATTGTTGGAGGATATAGAAGAAATGAATGACCATGAAGAGAGGATTATTCTAATTGAGTGATTGGTAAATGAGGGAATCACTGTAATTATCTTAACTGAGTTTTGTGTACAATTGAGCTTTTCCATAATAAAATACTGCTTCATAGCTGAGGGTGTAGTTCAGTGGTAGAGTACTTGCCAAGCATGTGGAAGGCCCTGGGCTACATCCCCAGGACCACCAAAAAATGCATGCATGTATAATGATTTAAAACACTGGGAAAAATATTTTTCCACTGAAAAAACATGATTGCCTCCAGGGGACAAGACAGTAGACAGAGAGGAACTGAGCAGAAAACTGCTGTTTTTTATTACTGTCATTATTTTTCTGTAAATTTTAATTTCACATAAATATATATATGTATTATTTGGGGAAAAATATTTATTTTTGTGATGCTAAAGATCCAACCCAAGATCTTCAGAATGCTAGACAAGCACTCTCACTGAGCTACACACCAGTCCTTAATTTTTTTAAGTAATAGAAATGCTAGAGGAGGACTTCAAGTTTCAGCCATAATTGAATAGTTTGTTTCAGACTGACCTTCCCACTGAAAAAAAATATTTACAAAAGTTGGGCAAAATATAACTGTTCAGGGACATTACAGTGGCTACATTTTGGCAAAAACAATGAAAACACACAAGATAAACTCCATATTCAACCCAACTTTATTATATGACATACTATGTGGATTTTTCAGGTAATTGTAATTATATCCACATGGGCAAATATACAGTCTGTCTATTGTATATTTACCTGCCCATTTTAGTTTATCCAGCACTTCTCAAAAAAAAAACCATAATTTTAACCCTATAAGACTCTAAGGTAGATACTAGTATTTTCACATTACAAGTGAGAAAACTAAATAATCTTCCAAAGGCACATAGCTAGAAGTCACAGAACTGGAATTCAAATCTAGGACTCCAGACTTCTAATACTGCACTCTTGCTGGGTGCAATGAAGCACACCTGTAGTCCCAGCTCCTTGGACGCTGAGATAGGAGAATCACTTGAGTTCAGGGGTTTCAGGCCAGACTGGCCAACATAATGAGACCCTGTCTCAAAAAAAAAAGTGGAAAAACAAAATCATATAATCTTTACTTACTTAATAGTTCAAATTTTTCATTAGAGAAACTCTTCTAAGCCTAAATAATACCATTCCCTTGGATAGAGAAACTGACATGCTATCAAGTTAGAGGTGATAGGCCAGGCACAGTGGCATTTGTCTATATTCTCAACTATTGGGAAGGCTGAGGCTAGAGGATCACAAATTCAAGGAGAGCCTCAACAATTTAGTGGAATCCTGTCTCATAATAAAAATAAAAAGGGCTAGGAATATAACTCAGTGGTAAAGTACCCTGGGTTCAATCCAATTCCCAGTACCCTCCCAATGCCACCAAAAAGAAAGAAAAGAAAAAGAGGTGATAAAAGCAAAAAGGAATTCATAAATCCAGATTTACACAATCAATATGTAGTTAGTTTACTGAATCACAGTAATAATAAATATAGAACTGCCCAGATCTTCAACTGTAATAGATACACTGATGATAAAAAGAACATCGTTAACACTAAAGGTTTCAACCCCCTCCAGTTTTATACTAACTTCAACCATTTTAATCAGAGTAACAATTATCTCATTTCATCTACACTTTCTCCTCAATCAACTAGGACTTACCAAAATCTTTCTTCGAAGAGCTTGTTCTGAAGCAACTGACACTTCACACATACACACCAACTTGCAAGCAACATGATATACTGCAAAACAGTAATTAGATACCCATTAAAAACAAAACATTCATTCTCCTTTTACGTACATCTATAAAGAGGAAAGATGATTGAAGTTAAGCCAATTTTTTTGTTTAAAGAAAAAAAGTCTGAACCTGGGCATGGTGACATATGCCTTAATTCCAGTGATTTGGGAGGCTGGAGGTCTGCAAGGTCAATGCCAGCCTCAGCAATTTAAGGAGACCCTGCCTTAAAACACATTTTCAAAAAAATGTGGTAAGAATGTAGCTCACAAGTAGAACACTTCCAGTTTCAAACCCCAGTACCACCAAAATATATATTTCTTTGTTTGTTTTTGTTGTTTTGTTTATTTTTGTGGTGCCAGGGATTAAACCCAGGGCACCATGCATGCTAAATGCTCTACCACTGAGCTATACCCCCAACCCCAAAATAAGAAGTTTAAAGGCCTTTTTAAATAATCAATTTTCAAAATGAAATGACCTGACACTTACCAAATGAATCATTTGCTTAATGCTCCAGAGAGATATTTAATTCTCAAATTTTAATTTCTGTACATATTAACTCACTGAAGATATTGATTCCATAAGATGCTTTTGTATGTACCATGCTGACAAAAGAATAATTTTAAGTGGAATCTAGAGTTATTCAACATCTGACAAAAATCTCTTGACATCAGGAAGGATAGTTTTAGATTTTTCTCCTAAAATGAGAAACTTTCTAAGAATGTATTTTCTTAGATGACACTAAAGTTCTTGAAGTATAATTTAGAAAATAGAGATGGCTTCATTATACAGATCATTTTCCAAGAAAATAGGCAAATCAGCAAGTGTGAATAATTTTAACTTTTTTTTTTTTTCAGTGCGGGGGATTGAACCCAAGGACACTCTACCACTGAGCTACATTCTCAACCCTTTTTATTTTTTATAATGAAACAGGATCTCACTAAGCTGACCAGGCTGGCCTCAAACTTGCAATTCTTCTACCTCAGCCTCCCAGGTAGCTGGGATTACAGGTGTAACCTCTTTATTTCTGTAGTTTGTTTCATCATAGTCATCTCTAAGTTTTAAAAAATGACTTTACCTATAATTGAACTAATCACTTTATGTGAGATCTCGGCAGCCATTCTTTCTATGGTAATACAATTTCTAATAAATATTCCATCATAAAAGAGACAATCTGCCCATCTGAAATTATAGGGAAATTGGAATAGTCAGATTTCAACTGCCCATCGTGAGATGCAAAAACTATTCATATTTCTCTCTCTCTCTCTCTCTCTCTCTCTCTCTCTCTCTCTCTCTCTCTCTCGTATCAGGGATTGAACTTAGGGGCACCTGGCCACATCCCCAGCCCTATTTTCTTTTCTTTTTTAAAAAATATTTTTTAGCTATACCTGGACACAATATCTTTATTTTGTTTATTTGTTTTTATGTGGTGCTGAGGATCGAACCCAGTGCCTCACATGTGCAAGGCAAGCGTTCTGCCACTGAGCCACCATCCCAGCCCCCCAGCCTTATTTTGTACTTTATTTAGAGACAGGGTCTCATTGAGTTGCTTAGTGCCTCGCTTTTGCTAAGGCTGGCTCTGAACTCACAATCCTCTTGTCTCAGCCTCCAGAACCTCTGGGATTACAGGCATGTGCCATGACACCTAGCTACTATGGATCTCTTAATGACATTATTTTGTTCTAAAAACACATTTGATAAAATTATGTCTAATCATACACTTACACTGACTTGAATTTCCAGTTTTGAAAATATTTCCTTTCTTTTAAAAATTTTTTTAATTGTCTATGGGCCTTTATTTTATTTATTTATTCATACACAGTGCTGAGAATCAAGCCCAGTGCCTCAACACATGCTAGGCAAACACTCTATCACTAAGCTACAACTCCAGCACAATATTTCCTTTCTTTTCATCAAAGTGTATTAATTCTTCAGTGTTCTCCAGGCCCTGATTCTCAATTATTTCCTCTCTCAAAAGGTATGTTCAGTACTACCCTCTCAATTTACTTGTTCCCCTGTTTTCAATTATACTCATTTCTCCCCATTCCCACATTCAAAAAAAATCAATTAACCCCATTGTATTTCAAGCTTGCATCCTATTTCTCTTTATCTTTCATTGCCAAACTTACTTAGTTGAATATCTATCCAATACCTCTATTTTCTTGCTACTCAATCTGTTTTGCACCCTTATCTCTTCACTAAACCTGTGCTTCCAAAGACCACCTTCCCCGATTTCACAGAAACATCTCACAATGACCATGACATTTTTGAAAAATACTATCCTCTTGTTCTGAGCCATCCTAGTTCAGCATTAAGCAATATCCCTGTACAGGTTATTGCTTAATCTAAGAACTTTGGTCCCATCCTCACATTCAAGATCCAGGTGTTTATACTGATTGCCAATAAGCCTTCAAGCCAAAGACACCTGAGGCTGAAACAAAATACTACTTTGGAATAAAGATGTTTTCTTTGTTGTTGTTGCTCTATTCTTGTCTTCTCACCAATATATTCTTTGACTTTTTGGTATTGTAAGCATCTTGGTTAGGTGTTTGCTGATCATTACTTTGAACATCTGTCTTACTCTCTTCTACCAATATCCACAGCCTGATCTTTGAATTGACCTAAACAAACATAGTGTTGTACTCTCTGGGATTTATTAATGTTTTATTTTTGCTATTGTTTGGATATGAGGTGTCCCCCAAAAGCTTCTGTTAATGCAGGAATATTCAGAGGCAAAATAATGGGATTATGAGGGCTATAACCTATTCGGTCCATCCTAGTTTGAATGGATTGACTGGGTGGTAATTGTAGGCAGGTGGGACTGACTGGACGAGGTTGGTCACTAGGCTCTGGAAGGGTGCATCTTTGCTGTGGCCCCTTTCCACCCCCTGCTCTCTGCTTCCTTGCTGCCATAAAGGGAGAAGCTTCCCTCTGCTGCATCCTTCCCCCACGATGTTCTTCCTGCCTCACCTTGGGCCCAGAGCAATGGAGTCACCCATCTATAGACTGAGACCTCTAAAATTGTAAGCCCCGAATAAACTTTTCCTCCTCTAAATTATTTTTGTCAAGTGATGTGGTCACAGTAATGAAAAAGCTAACTTTAAAAAATTATTGTTTATTTAGTGTTAACTCATTACTTACTAGATCCTCAAACATAATTTTTTCCTTGGTTTCTCTGTTCTGGAGTCTTACCTTGTTCCTTTCACCTATTACCTGCCATAACATGGTATGACAACCCAATAATGAGTAAATGGGCACTCAATAAATGGGTAATGAGTCTCTAGAATTTTTAAATCACATTTTGGTCTTCTATTCTTATTCTTTTTCTTCTCAGTAATTAAATGGAAGATTCAAGATTTAAAAAATGTCACTAATCACTGGGCTTGGGGAGAGTACCTGAAATTCCAGCTACTTAGGAAGCTGAATTAAATGGATCAAAAGTTAGGGACCAGCCTGGGGAACTTAGCAAATCCTGTCTCAAATCAAAAGTGCTGGGGATGCAGCTCAGTGGTAGAACACTTGCCTCATATACAGAGAGGCCCTGGGTTCTAATCCCCAGTACTTCCAGGGGGAAAAAAACCCTCCTTACTCTGTTTTTTTCCTCAATACTACTGGTTCTTAAAATTTGGTGGGCATGAGAATTCTTTTTTCATATTATAGACATGCCCAGGTTTCATCCTGAACCCAAATGAATCCAAACCACCAATGGCGGGGGGTCAATGGGGCTGGAGTTGTGCCTCAGTGGCAGAGTGCTTGCCTAGCATATGTGAGGCACTGGGTTCAATCCTCAGCACCACATACAAATAAATAAATAATTTAGGTACACCAACAACTAAAAAACATTTTTAAAAAATATCAATGGTAGGGACTGGGCATCTGTATTTTTAAGAGGTTTTGCAGATAATTTCAGGTTATACCAATATTTAAAAATCACTGCTATTTATTTTCTCCCTCAGAGAATCAATTACTCTTGTAGCTTCAACTATCACCCTCATGTAAATAACTGCCAAATCTACAGGTCCAGCTCAGATGTTTCTCATAAGCTCCAATTTCACATCTCCCTTGTTGCTGCAAATGCAACAGGTCCTAAACTGGAATTTACAAGTCATTCTTCTACTTCAGGCTTTCCTATTTTTGTTAATGATTCCAGAACATATTTCCATAATTCTTCCAAATAATAAAAAAGTAGTTTATAAATATTGATGAATTATTTCATCACAGAACATAATCCAGGCACACTGAATTTATTTTAAGGAGACAAAGTATCTCCATATATATATATATATATATTAGAGGTTTGCTGCACTGCATATAATTCTCCACTGTATTAACAAAGCACTAGTTGGGCACCTATAATCCCAGCCACTCAGGAGGCTGAGGCAGGAGGAGCGTGAGTTCAAAGCCAGCCTCAGCCAAAGCGAGGCACTAAGCAACTCAGTGAGACCCTGTCTCTAAATAAAATATAAAATAGGGCTGGGGATGTGGCTCAGTGGTAAAGTGCCCTCAGTTCAATCCCCAGTACCACCCCCACACACACACACACACACACAAAAGCACAATACATTTAACAAGCACCTAAATATCTGAGGAAGCACTGACACATGCAACTCACTGCTATGGTACATGCCTGCAATACCAGTGACTCGGAAGGCTGAGAAGCAGGAGGATCACAAATTCGAGGCCAGCCTGGGAAACTTTAAACCATGTTTCAAAATAAAATAAAAAGGGCTTGGGATGTATCGCAGTAGCAGAGCACCCTTGGGTTCAATCTCCAGTACCAAGAAAAACAAATAACTGATATATGAAGCAGGACAATACATTGGGAAAGATCGTCGGGTCGCAACACCCATTTTATATATATCAGAGTCAAGAATTAATGTATTTTGCTGGCTGTGGTGGTGCACACCTATAATCCCACCAGCTTGAGAGGCTAAGGCAGGAGTATTGCAAGTTCAACCCAGCCTCAGCAACTTAGTGAGGCTCTAAGCAAGTTAGAGAGACCTTGGCTCAAAATTAAAAAAATAAAATGGGTTGGGGATGTGGCTCAGTGGTTAAGTGTCCCTGGATTCAATATCTGGTACCAAAATTTAAAACAAAATAATGTATTTTAATATCACACAATTCACCTACATACTAACTTTCTCCCACAGATAAATCCTAACTCTTCCCTCTCTATAACTCAGAATTCAAGGCTTGTTGGGAACAATGATATTGACATATATCTTAAAGAGAAAGAATTATTCTTTAAACATCCTAATAGAGGAGTAAATCATGAGTAAGCATATTATTAATTCTATTAACCACCAATTAATGTATACCTACATTGAAATTATATAGTTTTGTTTGTATTTACAAAGATAAATACACAGTAATAAATTCTATATGTTGCATACAAACAAGTCATTTGTCTTTACAAAGTCAAGAAGTAGAGATCCATCCTTTGATTCACTGCCTGAATGTATCCTATATATTGGGACAATATACTTTCATAAATCCATTTGTTGTCACTATTCTTGTTGAAAAAAAACATTAATTATCAGTACACTAGACGTTGCTCATTTAGCCAAAGCATTAGCACTTTGTCAGATAGTAAGCACTGGTTTTTCAAGCAAACAGCTTCCCTTTCTACATTCAAATCATCCAAGATAATGAGTCTGGTTTGGGATTTGGGTTTTGTAGTTATTGTTCTTGTTTTTTACCTGTGGAAGTAGAAAGAATCTTTAGTTTCTCTCAGTAACTCATTCCAATGTTTATCAACTTACCTGTCGAGGAAACTATTCTTTTCAGTGTTAAAAATTTAAATCCCTCACATTGCAACACTTTTCAATCTTTTATTAATGGAGAGGGGCAACTATTCAATGGTCCTTCATGTCCTAAAGATTTTGATCATTTATTTTCCAATGGGAAATAATCTATGTCCTTTCACATCCCCTCCAGTTTTCATTTTCCCATCCTTTAATCATTTGCCCTCGGGGCTGGGGATGTGGCTCAAGCGGTAGCGCGCTCGACTGGCATGCGTGCGGCCCGGGTTCGATCCTCAGCACCACATACCAACAAAGATGTTGTGTCTGCCGAGAACTAAAAAAAAAATAAATATTAAAATTCTCTCTCTCTCCCTCTCTCTCACTCTCTCTTAAAAAAAAAAAATCATTTGCCCTCTAGACTATCTTGTGGTGATGCCCACAAACTCATAAAGAGCTAACCTCTGAAAAATCATAAAAACTGAGGAAAGCTATTTGCTTGAAAAACCAATGCTTATGAATTATTTTGTTTGATTGTCTTTTAACAAATCTCCTAGAAGTGGTCAAAACATTATTCAAACTGTGGGAACATTATCTAATGTCTAGTAAGAATACTCCTCAAAATGAGTCACAAAATGTATACATACGTACATTTAACTGTCTGCTCTTCACTCATAAACAAACCTATTCTCCGGGTAACTGCCCAGTTCCACAGGTTTACTGCCATTTCTTCAATCTGGACAAACAACAAAATATTGGATTTTAGTTGATGATATATATACCAAAGCATTAGGGGATAGGGAATTGTACTGAAGTCAGCAACTAACTTTGAAATGCATCCAAAAAATTAAGATGGGTTGATGGATAAATGGACAGGTGATAAAGCAAATACAATAAAATGTTTACAACTGTAATAGCTCAGTGGCAGAACTCCTGTCTAGTATGCATGAGGCCCTGAGTTCAATTTCCAGTACCACAAAAAGGAGAAGAAATAAAATGTTTACAACTGTAGAACCTAAGTGTTTGTTAAATAGATGTCCAATGTAAAATTCTTTCTTTTAATTTTGTTTATTCATTTGCTTTACTTTATTTTATTTTTGAGATACTAGGGATCAAACCCAGAGCATCAGACAATGCTGTACAACTGAGATACATCCCCAGCCCTCAGCTCTCTTTTTTGAAAATTTTTATAATAAAATATTGGAGAAAGAAAAAGATTTCTTTTTGTGATACCAAAAACATTACATACACTGTCATTTTAGCTATATACATTTTAAATATAGAAGTTATTAAATAAAACACATTAAATTATGGTAGTTATATTAAAGTGGTATGATTACAGATGATTTTTCTCCATTTTTCAAACTTTCTATAAGTTGTTACTTTATGACTTTAAATAATTCTGTATTTTTCCATATTTTATTAGAAAGGATATGGCAAATTATGACTATAAGTATTTCATAGTCACAAAATGCATAATTTTTCTAACAAATATATATTAAGCACTTACGTTGCAGGTTTTGTGTTGTTTATATAAATGTATAATGAGGTCTGGGGCTATAGCTCAGTGGCAGAGTGCTTGCATAGCATGTGTGAGGCACTGGATTCCATCCTTAGCACCACATAAAAATAAATAAAATAAAGGCACTCTATCCATTTACAACTACAAAAAATTTTTAAATAAATGTATAATGATAAACACAGCAAATATATGTATCATAAATAAATTATGTGACAAATAGGCTTTCTAGAAAGAAAACAAATTCAAGGCATTTCCAAAACCAAGTAGATCTTTGTGTGAAATAAAAACAGACTCTTGGGCTGGGATTGTGGTTTAGTGGTAGAGCGCTCGCCTAGCACATGCGAGGCCCTGGGTTCCATCCTCAGCACCACATAAAAATGAATAAAATAAAGATATTGTGTCCAACTACTACTAAAAACTAAATAAATAAATAACAGACTCTTGGCACAGAATCTTATAATATCTTTTCACTAACAACTAAGTACAAGAAGAGATTATAATTTAAAGAGATTTACATACTAAGGAATCCACTATCCAATGAGGTGCACATGCCTATAATCCCAGCTACTCAGGAGTGTTAGCCAGAAGGATTGCAAGTTCAAGTCCAGCCTCAGAAATTTAGTGAGGCCCTAAGCAACTTAGTGAGACCCTGTCTCAAAACAAAACAGAAATGGACTGGGAATGTGGCCCAATGGTTAAGTGTCCCTAGGTTCAATCCCTGGTAGCAAAAGAAAAGAAAACATAGTGATATATTATCATGATTCTAAGTTAGGAAAAATCTTCTTAGACATGACATCAAAAGCACAAGCAATGAAAGAAAAAATAGACAAATTATACTTCATCAAAACTAAAACGTTTTGCTTCAGAGGATGATACCATCAAGAAAGTAAAAAGACTCCACAGAACAGGAGAAAATATTTGCAATGTGTCTTTAGAATACATAAAGATGCTGCTACTCAGACTAAAAAGAAAAATAGCCCAATTTAAAAATTGGAAAATGATCTTAACAGACATTTCTACAAAAAAAGATAAGCACATGAAAAGATGTTCAAAGACATCTTAGCCATCGGGGAAATGCAAATCAATCTCACTAAAATACCACCTCATCTCCACTAAGATGTCTACTATCAAATAACAGAAAATACCTGGGCACAGTGGCATAGGCCTAAAACTCCAGCAACTCAGGAAGCTGAGGCAGGAAGTTCACAACTTTGAGGACAGCTTAGGCAACTTAGCAAGACACCCTGTCTCAATATAAAAAAAAATAGAAAGGGCTAGTAATATAGTTTAGTGATAAAGTGCCCCTGGGTTCAACCCCCAGTGCCTAATAATAATAATAGCAACTGCTGGTGAAGACGAGAAGAAATTGGTACGCTTGTACACTGTTGATGGGAATGTTAAATGTGCACCATTTAGTTGTTCCTTAAAAAATTAAGTAGGCTAGGCACATTGGCACACACCTGTATTCCCAGAAACTCAGGAGGCTGAGGCAGAAGGATTGCAAGTTCAAGGTCATCCTCAGCAACTTAGCAAGTCCTTCAGCAATTTGATAAGACCCTGTCTCAAAATTTTTAAAAAATGAAAAGAGCTGGGGATGTAGCTCAGTGGTAAAGTTCCCCTGGGTTCAATCCCTAGTGCCAAAAAACAAAATTAAAAGAATAATTACCAAATGATCTATTTCTGGGTATATATCCCTAAGAATTGATAACAAGGACTTGATATTTATACTCCTATGTCCATGGCAGCATTATTCACAATAGGCAAAAGGTGGAAGCAACCTAAATGTCCTTTGACAGATGAATGGATAAACAAAACATGGTATATACATACAATGGGATATTATTCAGCATTAAAAGAAAGAAATTCTGACACATGCTGCAACATGAAGGAATCTTGAGGACATTATGCTAATTGAAATAACCCTGTCACAAAACCACAAACATTATATGATTCCACTTATATGAGGTACCAATAGTAATCAAATTTATTAAGATAAAAAATAGAATGCTGGTTTCCAGGGGATAGGTGGTGAGGGAGAGTTGTTTAAGGGCAATGAGTTTTAGTTCTGCAAGATGAAAAGAGTTCGGGAGAATGGTCGTACAACTATACAACAATGGGAACATACTTAACACTACCGAACTTTACATTTTTACATTTAAAATGATTAAAATGGTAATTTTAAAAAATATATTTTTTAGTTGTAGATGGACACAAAATATCCTTGTTTATTAATTTATTTTTTATGTGGCGCTGAGGCTTGAACCCAGTGCCTCACACCTGCAAGGCAAGCGCTTTACCACTGAGTCACAATGTGTGACTTTAGAATACATAAAGATGCTTCTACTCAGACTAAAAAGAAAAATAGCCCAATTTAAAAATTGGAAAATGATCTTAACAGACATTTAAAACGGTAAATTTTATGTTATGTCTATTTTTCCATGATTAAAAAAAAAAAAAACAGGGCTGGGGAAGTGGATCAATGGTAGATCACTAGCCTGTCATACACAAGGCCCTGGATTCAATTCCTAGAACTGAACAAAAAAAGTTAGCATAAAAAATAACACAGTGAGATAGCACTTCACATCCACTAGGATGACTATATTCAAAAAGACATACAAAGCTGGGCACACCTGTAATCCCAGAGGCTCAGGAGGCTGAGACAGGAGGATTGAGAGTTCAAAGTCAGCCTCAGCAAAGGCAAGGCACTAAGCAACTCAGTGAGACCCTGTCTCAAAATAAAATACAAAATACAGCTGGAGATGTGGCTCAGTCACCAAGTGCACCTGAGTTCAATACCTGGTACAAAAAAAAAAAAAGACATATAATAAAAAATTTCGGCAAGGATGTGGAAAAACTGGATCCCTTATACCCTGCCAGTGGGAATGGAATCTGATGGTTCTCAAAAGTTTAAAGAGATTAACCACATGATTTAGCAATTTCACACTTAGGTGTACACCAAAGAGAAATAAAAATATAAAAATCTGCAGACAAATACTCAGTGGTAATTCAGCAGTCAAAAGGTAGAAACAATCAAAATGTTCATGAATGAGCAAACAAATAAACAAAATGTTATATATCTATAGAATGTAGTATTTTCAATCATAAAAAGTATTCGATATTGAGCCGGCACAGTGGTAATCCCAGCGGCTTGGGAGGCTGAAGCAGGAGGATCGAAAGTTCAAAGCCAGCCTCAGCAATTTAGTGAGGCCCTAAAAGGAACTCAGCGAGACCCTGTCTCTAAATAAAATACAAAATGGGGCTGGGGATGTGGCTCAGTGGTTGAGTGCCCTTGAGTTCAATTCTCCAGTACCAAAAAAAAAAAGAAAAGTAAGCAATGTTTATACATGCTACAGCATGGATGTACTTTGAAAACATCATTTTAAGTGAAAGAAGTCAGTCACAAAAGACAACATCTCATACGATTCCATTTACATAAAATGTCCAAAATAGGCAAATCTATAGAGATCAAAAAAGTAGATTTAGTGGCTGCCTGAGAAGAGGAAGGGAAAGGGTGTGAGGTTTCCTTTTGGGGTGATGGAAATATTCTAAACCTAACTGTGGCAATTGATGTACAACTCTATGAAATACCAAAACCCAGTGAATTTTTACACTTGAGTTATATGGTATGTTAAATATATCTGAATAAAGCTATTATATATGTCTTAGTATTTTACTTTTTATTGATGTATTATGATTATACAAAATAGTGGGATTCACTGTTATATACTGACATATACACATAATTTGGTCAATTTCATTATCCATTTCCTCCCCTTTCCCTCCCCTCACCCCACTTCTGTCCCCCTTCTCTACTCTACTGGTCTCCCTTCTTTTTTCATGAGAATGAGGAATCCTTTTTTATTTTTTCTTCATTACTGGGTGGCTTCCTACTTTGTTGCAAATGGCAAGCAAAAGAACTATTATTTCATGACTATTATATGCCTAGGACTTGAAATATGATATTTTGTTAATTATTTAGGTAGGTATTATTAATAATTACATTGTTATTAGGAGGTACGCATTATTATTAACCTTATCAGATGACAAAACTAAAACCTCAAGAATTTAAATAATAAATATTAAACTTAAGCACATATTTCCTTTGGTTCCTAAAACTATTTTCCCTATGCTTTAGGCTTTAAAATCCAAAAATATATTTCTCTATGTTTAGCAATGGTTAAACAAGAAAAAAATATTTTACTTGTACCTTAGTTAAAATAATGAATTAACAAAACTTATCATAGTTTACTCCCAGTACCAAAACAAATTTATCATAAAATTATTTTTATACCAACCTGAGCATCCTCTATTTCAGCCATAGACTCCCTGTTGATATTTTCTATGTCCTTGAAGAGTCTATCAATTACCTCAGGTATGCTAGGTGAATTATCTGTTATGGTCAGGTTTTCAACAATTTCTGAAATAACAATGAATGATAAACGTGCTATGAAATCACCACTGGCGAAAAGCAGCAAATCATTTCTAAATTTCCTCCTAGATCTTTGGCCAAATGAATATAGCATGAAGGAACTTAAAATTTTCCTTAGAATAAAAATTGGAAATAGGGTATCCTTTAGCTAAAGGTACAAATAAAATTTGTATTCCCTGGGAGTCACTTATTTATAACTTAATCATCATTATTCCCTCTCAAAAAGCAGAATGCATTGACTTCAAAAAAGTAATCTTATTATCAGTAATCTCAAAACCACAAAACAGAAGTTAACAATGTCTTCAAAATAGAAAAAACAGAAATTCTGAAGGGAGACCTGGATATGTGCCCTGTAAAACTCAAAATACTTATTAATATTTTCAAGCATTAAGCAGACATTAATTTATGCTGGCTTTGAAATCTTGACCTTATTTCATGAGAAAAAAATGACATGCCTAATTAGAGACAACATGAACCAGTTATTGAATCTGTACAAATGATGTCACCATTTTCTAAACAGTCTGAACTCCAGATCCTCCATACAGCTGAATCTTACTAGGCCATGGAATTCCTTAAAAAAATAAGCATGAAGTAAAATCACAATTGATGCCCTACATGTTATCAAAATTGAGGGGTTTTCCCAAACAAATATAACAGAAATTTATATAAACTATGTGTCTCTAATTTCTCAAAACTTTTCTAAGCATCAAACAAAAAGAAATATTATTAACATTCATAAAAAAATAGTATAAAAGCACCTTCCAAAAGATTTTTTAAGTTGCTAAAACAGATTTTGTGTGTGTGTGTGTAAGGCTGGGGATTGAACCCAGGGTCTTATATGTATAAGACTAGTACTATATCACTGAATTGTATCTCCAAATCCAACAGATTTTTTTTTCAGTACTGAGAATTGAATCCAGGGGTGTTCTACCACTGAGCTACATCCGAGTCCATTTTATTTTTTATTTTGAGACAGTTTTGCACTGAATTGCTGAGGCCAGCCTTGAACTTGTGATCCTTGAGTCCACAGCATCCCCAAGTAGCTGGGATTATAGGCATGCACCAACATACCTGGCAAAAAACAGAATTTTTAACCTGATAGACTAAAGAATAAATCAATCACATTTTTCCCCCTGCTGGGAACAGTGGTGGAACATCTGTAATCTCAGCAACTTGGGAGGCTGAGGCAGGAGAATCACAAGTTCAAGGCCAGCCTCAGCAATTTAGAAAGGCCCTAAGCAACTTAGTGAGACCTTGTCTTAAAATAAAAATAAAATGGATTGAGGAGGGTCTGGGATGTAGCTCAGTGGTAGAGTGCCTGCCTAGCATGTATGAGATCCTGAGTTCTATCCCCAGTATACACCAAAAAAGGGGAGGCTAGGGATATAGCTCATTGATAAAGCACCCCTGGGTTCAATCTCCAATACCAAAAAGTTGTTTTTCAATTAAATGTCAGAAAATAGATTAAATGTCAGAAAATAGTCTGGTATAGTGGCATAAGCCTATGATTCCAGCAACTTGGGAAACTGAGGCAAATTTGAGGTCAGCCTGGCAACTTAAAGAGACCCTATTTCAAAATTAAAAGGACTGGGGATATAGCTCAGTGATAAAACACCCTGAGTTTAATCCCCAGTACAAAAAAAGAAAGAAAGAAAAGAAAATAGATTCATCTAAAGACTTCACAAAGTAAAGTATGTTCAAATGTACTAAAAAAGAAATTTATTAGTGCATGGAGGGCTGGGGATGTGGCTCAAGTGATAGCGCGCTCGCCTGGCATGCATGCGGCCTGGGTTCGATCCTCAGAACCACATACAAACAAAGATGTTGTGTCTGCCGAGAACTAAAAAATAAATATTAAAATTCTCTCTCTCCCTTTAAAAAAAAAAAAGAAGAAGTGCATGGATGCGGGGCTGGGGTTATGGCTCAGAAGTAGAGTGTTTGTCTAGCACATCGAGGCCCTGGGTTCGATCCTCAGCACCACATAAAAATAAATAAATAAAATAAAGGTATTGTGTCCAACTACAACTAAAAAATGAATATTAATAAAAAGAAGTGCATGGATGCTTGGGCTGGGGTTGTGGCTCAGTGGTAGAACACTTGCCTAGCATGTGTGAGGCACTGGGTTTGATTCTCAGCACCACTATCATCAAATAAAATAAAGATCCATTGACAACTAAAAAATAATAATTCAAAAAAAAGAAGTGCATGGATGCTTCAGTACCCATTGAATGAACAAAGATATTAGGGAAAATATACCACACAAGGTGATAAGATATGTATGGAAAAGAAAAAACTCCTATCTTCCTTTTCTCCATAAATTACTTAGTGGAAAGACTAGTATAAAATATCTTGGAGTGTTAGAGCACTTGTTAGCATTTTAAAGGCCATGAGTCTGATTGCCAGCACTGAAAAAAATATCTTGTCTCTTCCAGGATCAGGTAAGTTTACTTTGAGGTGAGAGGCACATATTATAGACCTTGCTGAAAATATTGATAAAAGGATCAGGGTGGCTTTTATCTTTTATTTTTATTTTTTAGTTATAGATAGACACAATACTTTATTTTAATTTTATTTTTATTGGTGCTGAGGATCGAACCCAGTGCCTTACATGTGCCAGACAAGTGCTCTACCACTGAGCTACAACCCCAGCCCCAGGAAGTTTTTAAAAATCCAAATGTTGTCTTAAAACAGAGATTTTGGAAAAAAAAATCAGTGTTGGGGATCAAACTTATGGCCTTGAGCACACTAGGCAAGCACTCTGCCAATGAACTAAATCCCAGTCCCATATCACATATACTATGCAAATGCTCTACCATTGAGTGACATCCTCAGCCCCAACCCAATATAAATTTTTAATTTGAGTTCCTTTTTTAAAAAATCCTAAGATGTTATTGTAGAATACCAATTATAATTCCTTGTTAGAGTATATAATACTATAAAGACATTAATTTTGATTTGTGAATGTTCTCTTAAGTGGTTAATGTTTTATACAACTCAATTTTGTCAAAATAATTCTGGTCCTTTCAAAATACATTTTTAATGTCATTCAGTAGAGCAACTTGATTGACACTAGCTGAGGCAATAACAGCGTAGCAGTCTTTTAAGATAAAATGGAGTCAGAAAAGCTAGGTAGATAATAGAGATCACATAGTTGAATAAGAGCTGCACTATGAAAGAGCAATTTGTTTCTGAGAGAAGCTCAGAAAGAGCTTCTATAAATGCAGTCTACTCCTGAGATATGAAGACAACATGCTGTATTAAGATTACATCATACCAAATCATACATTTTGGGTAAAATGATTAAATTATCTTCCTGACTATTGAAATACGTTCTGATTTATAGCATGATTCAGTCTATTTAATTTGCATGAGATTTATCCTAGTTAAAACTACGGAGTCACTCCATTGAGGCAGCCATGTTCATCAGTATCAATTAATTCTGATTAGGCAGATAGCATTCTACTACAGTGAAATAGAAAATAAACATTTTCCCTGTCCTTAAGGAAGGAAGCTTCTGTTATAACACGGAAAAATCTACCAACAGCCTTGCCGTGTCTCTCCCTGTGACCTCCTTCAGCTTAACCAGTCATTCAAAAACCAAAGCAGCTCAAACACCTGCCAGGATCAATTTGAGATTCTACTCAAAGTCACAATGATTATATGCAACTTCTTTAGTGAGAAAAGAACAAATAATAAAGTAAAATAAACATTTGCATAGTTCTTTACAGTCTCAAAGCTTTTCCATATATATTCTTATTTAATCTTCAGTCTACTCTGTAAGGGAGACATTTTTATTTTTATAAGATGTGGAAGCATGCACAAGGCCATGAGTTCCATCACCATCATCAAAAAAAAAAAAAAAAGTGGAAACTGACACTTCACAAAATGAAACGACTTCTGAAAGGTGATATAAAGAGAAAGTAGTAAGCTAGGACTTGAACTCAGACTTTCTGATTTGAAATTCTAGACTTTTCACTACACTGGTTATATTGAGAAGGGCATGGAATAAGTAATAAATCAATAATCTGAGGCAACTAAAAAGGAGTAGAGAAATAATGTACCAGGACCATTCAAAATGCTAAGCCATGGCTCTGACCGTTAGCAAAAATATTCTGACTGAAGAGGCTGGTTTGAATGACAGCAGCTAAAATATCCAAAACAGTAACTAAAGGGCATAGAAAACTCAAGCAAACACATTTAGACACAGACTAAAATCACACTGTAAACCATAGTCTATATCTATGGTCAGGAAGATGACATTTTTTTTTCTATACAATGTTCCAGCCAATCTCAAATGACAAACTGGGTACTGTACAAGAGAATCCAAGCAGCGAGTCATAATTCAGAAGTCATATGGAACTGCATGCACCACAGCTTTAAGAGACCTAGTCACAGCAGTGTGTTGTAGTTCTGAGCAGTGTCCTTATTTGAGGGCAACTAGGGAAGGACAAACAAGCAGAAATGATACAATTACACATATGAAAAATCCCAGCTCAGTCTGGTGTCATGCCTGTAACCCCAGTTACTCAGTAGGCTAGGGAAGGAGGATTCAAAGTTCAATGCCAGCCCAGGGAACTTAGCAAGACCCTGTCTCAAAATAAAAAAAAAAAAATACTGGAGATATAGCTTAGTTGTAGAGTGCCCCTTGGTTCAATCCCCAGTATTGCAAAAACAACAACAAAATTTAAAAAGAAAAAAAAAGAACAGAAGAAAAATGAAAAATCCTAGCTCTCAGCTTCCTAGGGAAGGAAAAAGTTGAGATCCACGCATCCAATTGCCCAACAACCCTGAGGCCAACCAAAGAATTAGCATCTGTCTCTCCAGTAAGAAGCTCAGGTGAGTCCAGCATGCTCAAATCTCCCAAGAGACAATAGAGACAGAGGCTTACACTGGTAGATGCCATACCTCAGTCTACTCTGGCTTAGCACAGAACAAGCAGACAAAAACTACATCTGCCTGTTCTCTCTGGGGAAGGAAAATGTTGGTAGAGGCCACTAGAATCTCTAGTGGGACTAGTTGGTGGGTCTTCTCATAGACAAAGCAAGTCAAGGCAGACTGTGTTTCTTTCTTTGCCTAATACACAGACACAAATAC